TGACAAATCTGCTTATTCTGATGGGTTTGCCTTTAAATATGATTTGGTGCCTCTCTCTTGCAACTTTTAATATTCTTTCTTTGTCCTGTAATTTTGGCAATTTAACTATAATCTGACATGGAGAGGTTTTTTCAGGCCATGTCTGTTTAGGGTTCTAAATGTCTCCTAAACCTACATGTTCATGTCTTTTCCAAGACTTGGGAAATTTTCTTCTATTATTTCACGGAATAATTTATCTGTTTCTTCAGTATATAGCTCTTCTCCTTCCTATATGCCATTTATGTAAATACTTGATCTTTTAATGGTATCCCAGAGATCTTAGATTTTTCCCTCTCTTCTTTTTTTTTATTCCTTTCATTSTTTTTTAATTGTTGTCTGAATATAATATTTTGGCAGAGTAGCCTTCAAGCTTTTGTGTCATTTTTTTTCTGTCTGCTCTATCTAGTCTGTTGCTCAGGCTTTCAAATGAGGTTTTTATCTAACTTGTGAGCTTTTTATTCTCAAGATTTCTCTTTGGTTCTCTTTCARTTGTTCACTTATATATTGCATTGTTTTCCTTATTTCATTCAGCATTTAAAAAATCTTTCTTTTGAATTCTTTGTAATTTCATCTACTTTGATATCTCTGTAACAAGTTACTATGAAGTTATGAACTTTAGGAAGTATTGTTTGCCTTGTTTTTTCATATTTCATATGCTTTTATGTTGAGAGCTGTACATCTGTTGAGATCCATATTTCTTCTCTTTTTAGGTGAAGCCTTCTTAATAAGCTGTCTTCTTCTGACACTATGTCTTGGGGTGTCAGTTTGTTGTTCAATATCAAGTTTAATTTTAATTGGACTGAATAATACAATCTCCTTGTCATTTCTACGGCTGTGATTAGTGGTTTTTCACATAATACCTACTGTGTCAGAGGCTGAAGGAACTTCTTTCTCTAGAAGTCTCACAAGAGTAGGGGGTCCCCTCAGTAGTTCAGGTAGGTATGACATAGACAAGAKAGTAAGTGGGGTGCATCTATTAGGGTTACTCCTACAATAGGRGTGGAAACCCCTATTAGGTGATAGAGGTTTCCTCAGGTACTGTTGATATTGGTTCTGTTGCTTGAAAAGACTCCTGGTACTAGGTATTCTCATCATGGTAAAGGACCTGACACTTTTATCCTGGTATTTCATGGTGAGATTCAGGGATGAGAGTTGTATCTCCCACTTTGTGACACCTTCAATCTTGTTATCAATGTGAAATCTAATAGAATGTGGAAGCAACCAATGCTGAGCACTGTATAGATATCATAGCCACAAGTTTTATTTTTTTCTTTCTTTTGTTGCTGTGGGAGTGAGTGCAGTCAGATTCCTCCTTACCATGCCCACTTGGGAGGGATTACTGACTAGGGAATTTTTGCCCCAGGGTCTGAGCAGGACTAGATCATGGCTGGAGCTAGGTACAGTTTCAGTCAGCTAGCCTTAGAAATATTGTTCAGCAGCGAGCACCTATCCAACATGCTTAAAGTCCTGGTCTCAATCCCTAGCACAGGGACGGGTTGGGGGGAAACGGGGCAAACAAAAAAATTAAATTAAATTAACAACAACCCCAACATTTACTATGTACTGATAAGGGAAAAGTAATATGGAATGAAATAAAAATTTAAAAATATTAGGGCTGAGGGTATAACTCAATGRTAGAGTACTTGCCTACTGTGAGGCCCTGGGTACAATCCTCAGCACCACAATAGATAAGTAAGTAGTTAAAAAAATAATAAATATTTTTTTAAAAAGTAAATGTTAAAAAGAGGAGACAAGGAAAACAGGTAAAGGCGGGGGGCGGGAGAAAAAATAAAAAGAGGGGAGAAGCTTCTCTGAGTCTTCTTAGGCTGTGCACCCCTCAGAGAAAGCAGAAACSGTGTGTTAGTCACCCACCTCGTCTTTTTGTTTTGATTTTTGCCTGACAAGTAGCAGGAGTGGTTTGTAGCTGAAGCTAGTTGGAATTCCTCTCAGCCCCTCTGCTGGCTGTAAGGAGTTAGTGCTGAAAGCAGACCTCCCAGGTATAGATTCTCACTGGAGATTTTTGGACTGCACATTTCAAGGGCACAGAAAATACCAGTGCTACATCAGGTCGATGGGCTAGGATAGGGCATATAACTCGCCTGAGAGAGATTCTATTTGAACTATATACTTCAAGGGCTGGACTAACACTGGCACTGCAGCTGACCAACAAGCTAGCCTAGTGTGGACGCCCCCAAAGATCCTCTCTGGAGCGAGACTAACGCCAGCTCTACTGCAGATCCTTGATGGCCCAGAGGGCAGAGAGAKGCAAGGGGGTCACAAAGGCGCACTGCTAGGAGGGGAGGAAATGGGGCAATCCGCCCACCACCCATGATTCTGGTGCTACCATTCTTGACCCCCTCGTGAAATGACACATGATTCACTCCCCTGGGCTGTGATGATTGGATTCCCAAACTACCAATTTAAAAGGAAGTTCCTTCCATTCCCCTCTGCATCAGAGACCATTTTCCTACCACACAGAATTCTCAGCTGGTTTGTATCCATCTCTCCCCTGGACCAAACTGACATTTGAGGTGGCTGCCTGCTAAGTCAGYGCTGTGGTATTGCCTCAGGATCCAGGAGATAGAAAAATGAAGAGGCCTTTGACTCCCACAGCAGTATAAACTTAGAAAATAGGACCCTTCTCAAGACGACACTATGAAAATATTCTGGGAAGTACAGACAGTTCTCCAGGGCCTGTTCCCAATGCAGAGTCCAAAGCTCTTGTCTGCTTAGATTACATGCCAGGAGGGTGCTGGATCCTGCACCAGTGGAGCTAACTGGAGCTCTCCCTCTTTTACCTCTATCCCTGCCAAGGGGTACTCGTCCTGCCCTGACATGCTGCCATCAGTGCTGGAGTGCTCTGTTTCTCCCACTCTGCTGCTATCCAAGTCTCTCTGTCTCTCTCTCTTTCTCTACTGTTGCATTCCAGCACTCCCCCATCGTCAGCTTGCTCAACAAGGCTATACTCCCTTGTTTTGAGAAGCAGGCAAGTGTTAGATGCCTCTAATCCACCATCTTGGAACCTGAGTTCTAGTTTCTTTCTTTTTTTTTTTTTCCAATCCCATATGGTTAAAACCCAGTGCCTCACATATGCTAGGCAAGGGCTCTACCACTGAGCCACAACCCCAGCCCTACACCCCTTTCTTGATATTAGATTTCTATCTCTATGACAGCCCAAAATTTCTTTGTGTTTCACATATCTGCATGTAATAGTGTACTCAAATTACACTTAGACATTCCTATTTCTTGAGCCACTGAATGAAACAGATTAATGAAAGAATAGATCAATGAAATGGAAGAACCTAACACACACATAATGTTAAGGAAAGTACATGTTTAAGATCTTGACATTCCCCAAGTTTTCCAAGCTCTTTTCAAATTATTGCAAATTATTAAACCAATGTTTCACTTATAAAACAATGCATAGGAAAGAGGAACCCATTACAACTCTCTCTCCCCTTTTGTTTATAATAATTTAAATCAGTAAAAATTCAGATCTTGGCTTTGATTGATTTAATGCATTGTCCAGGTTAGTTAAAATGTAGGGAGGGGTGGGGATTCCATGACCTCTTTGGGTCACAGATTATAGAGAACTTTCTCTAAATCTCATCTCTCATGTCAGTAGCACGTGTGATGTTATAACATGGTTCCTCCTGTCTTCTAAAATATTCACCTACATGCAGTGGTGTTTCTTTTATGCAGTGATGTCCCTGAAGGAAAGTTTCATCATGATAGAGTACCTATAGTCTGAGGATATAAGAAAAAATGGATAACCAGGTGCCAGTGGCACACACCTGTCATCCAGTCTCTCAGGAGGCTGAGGCAAGAGGATCATGAGTTCAAAGCCAGCCTCAGCAACATCGAGGTGCTAAGCAACTCAGTGAGACTCTATCTCTAAATAGAATACAAAATAGGGCTGGAGATGTGGCCCAGTGGTTGAGTACCCCTGAGTTCAATTCCTGGCATAGCCCCCCCACCAAAAAAAAAAGACAGAGTTAGAGAGAAAGAAAGAATGTATGCCATAGGGAAAATTAATCAGAAAAGGTTTCCTGATTTTCCCCTAAAGAAGAAATTACCTTCTTTCTTGAAGCCACCCATCTTAGGCTCAATCTCCTAAGTTGTTCTAAGGATTCTAACCGGATACTCAGTATTGTATGCTTTTGACTATGCTGCTCAAAGTTAGTTCTTGAGAAAGAGTGTATTTATCATGGTATGCAGCGTTTGGGTTATAAAACTAGAAACTTCTCTGTGACTTTTAACATAGAAGATTAGARTCATGGATTTCACACCCACTTGCTTTGAAATCATCTGTGTCCATGCCATCTCCTGCCTTCTTTTCCTCTGATTTATCAGTACCACACATTTTAAGATTTGATAATACACAATTTTGAGTTAATTATTGTTACATTTTATTCTTTTCAGAAAATAGTTATACTGTGTGTGGGGGGCTACCATTTAGACTTTTATTGAGGCTGTGTATTTATTATGTAAAAAAAAACAAGGAAATTTTATAATACTAAGAATTACCTTTTTTTTTGTATATTAAACCCACTTAGAGTCTCACAACCCAGAGATAATGACTATTGTTAACCATAGGAGGGTATAATTTTCTAGACTTACATTTTTCTAAGTGAAAGATGTTCCCATACCTATCACATTGTATCTTGTTTCGTGACTTAATTATATTGAAAAACTTCACCTGGGTTATCCTTCTTCAGGCTCATTTTTAATAACTGCATCAAAATTTTAATGTATGAATGTATAACAACATATGTAGTCAATTCCTCATGATTTGTATAATTTTAATTGTATCTTATGATGGGATTTTTTCTTGGAGATAACTATAATATATAATTGAAAATTCTTATAGCGATAGTTTTAAACCACATTTTATAATATTAATTTTCTGATACATTATGAAGACTAAATATGCTAAAACTTATATATTGTATTCAATTTAGGAGAACACAAACTGCACTTCATCCCTGCCCTGATTGGCCCCTTCCTAGAAGTGACCTTGATACCCCAGCCAGATCTCCGAAATGTCATGATTCCTATTTTTCATGATATGATGGACTGGGAGCAGAGGCGGAGTGGCAACTTTAAGCAGGTAGGCAGAAGTGTTCCTTGAAACAATTTCACTTCCCCTCTAGCATCTCTGATTCCAGATTCAACCCTGAGCTGGGAAATGAAGGCTGGGGCCAGCACACCTTCATTTGGCTGGTCTGTCCTCTCCCATACCACATGGCCTGGACACTTCTCTTTGGTCTTGTGTTCCTCTGAGCCTCTAGGGAAGCCCTTTCAGTTAAAAAGTCTTTGATTTCCCAGTTCTATATTTAAGAACTTACAGAGACTTTATCTGCTCCCAGTTGGACACAGAATAGAGGAATCAGAGAGTTAATGATTCTTAAAGTCATTGAGCTCAGTGGTCTGCACATTGTATTTGGTGAATGGCTTAGCTTTGAGCATTGGATTCACAGTATGTTTTATTGCTCTTAGCTTGAAGCATTGAGAATTAATTTAAAGAAAAAAAAAGCAGGGGGAATTCTTGCAAAGGAAATCCCAAGGGGATGAACCTATCATTTCTCATTGACATAGGTTCTAATAGTGTTCTCTAGCTTGGGGAAGACAGAYATTCTGATTTGAACACCAGATCTTATAAGGGATCAGCTGCTTTTGCCATGCCAAGTCCCTTAAGCTGGAGACAGTGAGTCTACTGTCTGTTCACACAATCAATGCACTACCCTGTTTGCTCATAGGATGTGACCCTTGTTCTAAATGAAATCTTTTCTAAATGAAATCTTCCTCAAATCTTAGGTGTCATTATCAACTGTATGAGCTGTCTGATTGCAAAAGGCAATTGCAAAAAGTGATTCAATTAGCAAAAGCTTGGGTATTTCATGTGTATTGTTATATACATTTATTTTCAATAAAGTTTGGAAAGTGAAAGGATTTTGAAAAGTTGTGTTTGCCAGGTATGATGATGCACACCTGTAATCCCAGCTACTCAGGAGGTCGAGGAAGGAGGATCACAAGTTTAAGGCCAGTCTTGGCAATTTAGCAAGAACCTATCTTTTTTTTTTTTTTAAGACTGGGAATGTAGCTCAGTGGTAGAATGAACCTGGGTTCAATCCCAGTATCACACACAGAAGAAGAAGTCATGCTTGGTGTGTGTGTGTGGGGGGGGGGGGGTAACCACTTGCCTTCCCCCTTGTATTTATTTCTTGAAATTTGGTTTAAAGAAATAATTGGGCTCAGCACACTTACCAAGTCAAATAGCCCTCACAATCCCTAATTGTTTCAGTTCTCTCTGGCCATAGAGAGGTTTTTCATTTTCTATCTCTTCTCCTGCCTCAGATAGATCAAAGGTTTTTTTTTTTTTTCTTCCTGATATTCAAGTTACAAAGAATTTACATCCTTGAAAATATAAATGTTTTGACTACAGTCCTTTCTCTCCCCTGCTGCTTATTGCTGACTTAGAATATTTCCATGGGTCTACCATCTGTACATGGATAGGACAAGTTCTCAACTTCAGCAAAGATTTAGTGCAACCTCAACTGTTTTAGGAAAGAAAATAGATATAAAACACATCAAAGATTTAAATTCATGTATGTGGGCATGTTAGTTTGCTGATGCCCTTATATATAGTGATGTAAAGAGAAAAGAAATAGGACTGCCAGTTTTCACAGTCCCTAAAAAAGAATTCAAACATTTAAATTGGGCTGCAAGCATTCGTGTTTGAATCACAGATAGATAGATGTCTTTGGCAGTAGGCAGAGCCATCCAGCAGGGAGTTTGAAGTTAATTCCATCCAAATTAGGCCCATAGAATTCCAAGGGGATGTCTGCTATTAACCATGGCTGATAATGTCACTTTCACAAAATACAGTATGGCTTTTTCCCTGGGATAAATAAGTATGCTTTAATTTGCCTAGAAATGCTTGTGAACAGGAAGAAAGAAGAGTAATATTTGAGTATGTTTCAGGTGGAAGCAAAGCTAATTGACAAACTGGATAGCCTGATGTCAGAAGGCAAAGGTGATGAAACGTACCGGGAGCTCTTCAACAGTATGTGAGTAATGTTTTATCTCAAGTCGATTCTATTCGGGGGATTTGGTGTCAGTCCTGAGCTGCTCCACACTGGTGTAGCTGAGAGTTGCAAAGACAGCTTGGGTCTCATAGGACTGCTTTGTCTTTGTGAAGTGTGAAATAAAGGATAATTGCCTAACTCTGGAAAATGGATCTTATTATGTTGATGRTTAGACATGTCTCCTTATTTTAATCTCTGATTAGGACAGGTCGTATGTGTTACATAACAAATCTCACTCTTTTCATGCCTAATAATTTTAAAAAAAAAGAAGAAAAAACATTGCTTCAAGATAATGATTTTAAGTGGGTCTATGAGTGGGAGAGGGACAAAGGGGTATGATTGTAACACGTCTGTTCAGTGATTTCCAAAGCCTGATATCCTTGGCTGATTTGCTGTTGGAAAAATAACCTATTTTGCATTTGTTCTTTAGAACCTCGTTTAATCCATTTATACCGATTATTCACTCATGATTATTTAGTGCTTCCTTGGTGTTTCTTATCACAATATTACAGAAGCAAATCATTTTTAATAAATTATGTGTTTAGGATTTGTATGGAGGATAGAGAAATAATGGAGTGCTATAAAGAGACTTTGTGGTTGTCCCTACCAGTATTRCCTGGTAACAGTCACAGGAATGAATTGCTTGTATGGAGTGTTCATCCACTGTGTTGAACTGGCTAGAGAGGACACGTGAGAATGATTCGGGGCTTTGGGTTTTCTCTTCTGGTACCTGTTCTCTGTATGGCTTTCTGTGGATCTTAGTCATTTTCGAACCTGGTATACTTACAAGATCTTTCTTTTTTGAAGAAAGAATTAGCTCATTGATCTTGCAAAAATTTTTCAGTCCTTTCAGAGAAGTGTCAAAATAGTTCAGCATTAGATTTTCAGTTATGAAATATACTTTTAATTGTCCTTAAGCCAACTGTCAGCTAAAATTCAAGAATAGTATTTTGGTATTGATGACCAAATATAAGATTCTGTAATTCACTTTAGGATTATTACGTTACAATGGTGGAAATACTAATATATAGGTTTGAAAAATATTATAAGTGACTGATAGGGTAGATTTCAGCTTGCCTGATTCAAAATCATTCTTGAAGCTTTYAGGAAAATTATATTGAATGGAAAAGCCAAGAAAGGGTATAGAGATTTCATGTGGTGGTGGTGGGTGATAAAATGCATTCTTTGTACTGAGCCCTGAACACCATTTTCTTCTGATACTGTAATTAAACCAGAACTTTTAATAATTATTCACCAATCCCTTGTTCATTCTTGTGTACAAAGCGTCTGTCTTTCATGACAGCTGGAGTTTAGTAAGAATTCTGATTAAAACCTCATCCAATATAATAAATTGCTTTTGAAAACTGCTCTCATTTCAGTTACTAGTCTTTGGTTTGAACAAAGAACTAAAATGAAAAAGCACTCAGTAAAATGAATCTCTTGAGATTTGTGATTAATTATTTATAATAAGCTCACAAGATTAATAAATACATGCATAGTTCTATATTGCCTCTTATCCTACTTTAATAAAGACCTGATAGCATGCAGTTTGGATTGCTTGTGTATAAATATGACTTTGAAATAGAAGATGTACTTTGACATTAGAAGCAAACCAATAATTAAAATATTAAGCCTCTGTAATTAGGACTATTTTAAGAATCCTGATTCATTCAATGGAGATTTTTATTCTTTTGTTGATTTTTAGGATATTACTAGAAAGGCTGCTATAAATATTTTTCTTTCATGCTTTTGTGATCAGCATATTGAAAATAAATCAAATCTGAAGTGATAATTAAATATCATTACTGCCTGGACTCAGATAAGAAAGTGAAAATCTCAACTATGTTTCAAGAAACAATAAAATGTGGTTTTGGTGATAGAAATCACAGTGAGTTAGCGTGATCACAGTGAGTCACTGCACACATTATGAATTAGGAACACACGCCATTATGGTACAGATTCTCAGTTCTCTGTAATTTATATCCAAAATATCTTAAATTTTGTTCGGAAGCTGAAAAGGTGGAAAGTAGCTCATTATTTCCTAAAGTGTAATACCTGCCAAAGTAGTCCCTGCAGAGTAGAACTTTAAATTTGCATAGTACCTTAGAACTCATTTCATCTTTCCTGGCCTCTCAACATTATCTCCATGTACTCATACTACAACTTTTTGAAGTTAGTGGGGTTTATAATTTTTGTTAGCACTGAAATTGTGAAGCAGACACTGCAATGTTAAATATCTAAAAGAGAATATCAGAAYCAAATTCTGCTTTCTCTGGATCCACCTGATTCACTTATTGGGCTTTATTTGTGTAGAGCTGGAATGCAGCAGTGACTGTGCTATCAGAGCATACAGTAGGCCTAATTTACTTGGGGAAAATTAAAGGGCTTCCCCCAAACAAGTAACATCCATCTCAGTTCTTTCTTCTGCTCTAATTCAATAAGACTTCAAATTATTTCAAAGATCCTTATTTTATGATCACCTATTTAATTGCTGTTTGGAGACAGAAGATTAACTGTGTAACATCATACCTTARATCTTTAACTCTTCTCTTTGGGTCGTTTAAGAAGAGTATGCACAGATACTAGTATATAATTCAGAGTGATAGTCTCAGCACGATCCTGTTATGATACAGAGGGAGGCAGATTGAGAATCAGATTCCACCACCTCTTTACCCCCAGAGCCTGGTGAGCAGTGTCATATGGTAATACCAGTGTTTTATCCAGATCCCCAATGTCATAGAGTGACATTGATTATAAGCAGCCTTATCAATTAGCAATGAGAATTGCCTCTCTCTGTGATCAGATGGGGTCCCTATGTACTCAGTTTGAGCACATGAGCATGATTATAGACCAAATGAAGACACCCAGTCTGGCATAAGTTATCTAGAAAGATTCTTCTCTTGCTGCTGATGGCTTCTCCTTATCAGTTCCTGTCAGGTATACTGGGAACTGGCAAGCTTCTCAACAAAAGGAACAAGCCTGGGTGAAAACACAGGTGGATTGGGTTCCAGACCCAGTCCTAACATTTTGGTCTTGAGTCAGTCAAGAAAACAGACTGTGTACAACTTTGCCTCTTCTTATAAGAGGATTATGTGGCTCTGACTCCTTACTGTCTCAGTAGGCTGTGCAAATTAATGAAACTCATGAGAGCAGTCTCCATGTATTTTTAGAATTATTACTTAACTTGAGTTCTTTGTTTTTTAGCCTCTGAAGTATATGAGGTGTAGGCTGTCACTTGGAGGAATTTTTACATCATCCTGTGTTGCTTTGGTAGGCAGGTTTTCATTTCAGGACTTGGTTCAATACCAGCTTGCCATTTAAGTTTGAAACAGGTGCTGTTCAGAGGTTTTTTTAAAAAAAAAAATGCATTTAAACAAATTAAGGGACCTTCCCCCTGGAAGATTTGCCAGAATGAGCTTCATCTCTTCCATATGCAATCTCTATCCCACCCACCTTTAATCTATAAAATAGTTTAGAATAAATTAGGAAGGCAGGGGCCGGAGTTGGGGCTCAGGAGTAGAGCGCTCACCTAGCACATGCGAGGCACTGGGTTCAATCCTCAGCACTACATAAAAATAAATAAAATAAAGGCATGTGTCCAACAACAACTAAAAAAAATATATTTTAAAAAATTAGGAAGGCAAATAATTGGGAGTATAGAGGTAACAGATGAGGAAACAAGACAGAAAACTGGGCCCTAAGACAGAAATAGCAAGAAAAAGAAAACTGAGGAGAACATAGCTGCAAAGAAAGCCTTGATGAGATAGCTTTTTTCCTTAGTATTTATTTTTCCACTAAGTGCATACAYGGTATGCTTAGATTGTACTGAAAGTATTGTATTGAAAGAAATATTTTCTTTCAGTCTTATTCCTAAAACCATGATGAAAGGGAAAGGAAACAAGATTTTAGACAAGAAATTATGATCATTAAATTCTGAGGGCTAGGGGAGGTATCCTCATAYTGCTGTGCTCATGGGTTTTGATTGTTTTTTGTTTTTTGCTTTTTTTGTCTTTGGGGGTAAGTTCAGTCACTACGCCCTTGCAAAGCCCAATGTTAATTTGCCAAGAGGCGGAGTGAAAGTAAAACAGATCCTCATTATTATGATTGTTATTATTTTGTGTTTACATAGTGCCTGTGCTCCAAGGTGTTTAGGACGAGGGGAGATGTAGGAGGAGAGACGTGGTTCAGTATTTGTCATCAATCTGCTGTAACAACCACTTAGAAAATCCTCTGTGATTAATGACAAAATGAATGAAACTGTTGAGTGAGTGCACAGATAGTACAATATGTATTGAGTGGGCAAATGTTAAGTGAAAGGAAAAAACGCAAAACGTCATCCCGCCTGTACAAGGATTTTCCTGTAGCAGTTGCGTTGCGGTAGAATTGCTTGGATGAGGATGCATTCCACTGAGAGGTAGGAAAACATTTTTATGTGAATAAAGCAAGCTCTTACTTAAAAGTAAACTTGGAGGTACTCCTGTTTTCACCTCTTGCAGTGTTATTTGATGTAGTGAGGCACAAGCCTCTGTTAGTATAAGAGAGAAGCTAGGAAAAAAATGTCTTTGAGATATGAGRTGCTTTTGTATATTCTTGAAAATCTGATTATGTGCATGTGTTCATATTTTATAACTTGGATAATCTGAAAATCAATTTGCTTTGTCAATGCTTCCTGGATTAGAATTCCACTATTTGGTCCCTATCCTAGGTAAGACATTGTTTGCAAATTGTGCTACTTGTGAAATGTTGCAGTGGTTGCTAAGGCATTTAAGGTACTGATGAAAGTAAAATGGTTGTCATGGTGACTGATAAAAATAAATGTTGAAAATGCCCCGGGTTCTTTCTTTTCCAGTCTACTAAAGAAAATAGAGCGGGAAACATGGAGGGAAAGTGGCGTTTCATTAATTGCCACTGTAACTCGTCTAATGGAGAGGTTGCTAGATTACAGGTAAGCCACATCCCACGTTCTCCAGAAATGCTGCATGCCAGAATAGCAAATAGCCAGAATACAGTCAGGGTTCCACTWGAGTTCATCACTCAAGGAACTGATAATCACACCTTGGACTCGTAACCAGGTAGTTCAGAGTATTTAATCTGGGCACTTTTGGGTTTGTTTTTGGTTTTTGATCTTTCAAAGTCTTGGAGAGTTGAAAGGGCTCTCAAAGTCATCCCTGACAGTTCTCAAAATAATAATAACAATAATAAAAAGTAATTTTTTTTTGTCTCAACCAGTAGAAAATTTCAGCTCAACCACTAGAAAATCCTCTGTGGTTCCTTTGCTTTAGGGTGAAGAGGACTTTTTCCTTTTTAGAGGGAACAGGGTATTATGTACCATAAGGCTCTCTCTTTTTAAAGTGGTGGGGCTGGCAAGGGTAAAACTCCACTGTTACCTTTCCTAGCTTGAATTCCTTGATTTTTGTATTATCTAGACTTGCAAAGGAGTTCATCTCATTTACATGCACAGTGATCTTGTTTTCAAATAAGAACAAAACCCTCACTCTCTTGCCCGTGGCCAGGCTTGCCAGCTGCTTCTCCTCCCACTTTAGAAGGTGTTCAAAGTAACTTCACACTTGTTTCCTGAGCCCCTTTCCATGGAGAGGGAGCAAGACCCTGATGCTGAAGTGAACTCTCAGCAGAAACTGTTGCTCAGGAGTCTCTGGCTTCCCAGCTTCACCAGAGACCCTTAGTCCCCGGAGCCTTTCTCTGAGCTCACACAATTGCCTCTGGTTTCTGACAGTACATTTTGGAGGGGGTCTGAGGGTGGGGGATAAAGTAACCAACCATTTTTTGCCCCTAAGAAGTAAGTTGGGATTTTTGTTGTTGTTGTTTGCATAATTTTAKATTTATAGAAAAATAGCAAGTAGTCAGATGATAGAGGTTTCACGTATGTCCTCCTAAGAAGGAAGTTCTGACTGTTGCTTTTTGTTTTTAGGGACTGCATGAAAATGGGAGAGGTAGATGGCAAAAAGATCGGCTGTACAGTTAGCCTTCTGGTTAGTAACACATTCTCCTTTTCCTCCTCTTATCCTAACATTTGTTTTCTTTATGGAAATACTGGGTTTTTTTGTTTGTTTGTTCTTAATCTGCAGTGTAAATTTTTTTTTTCCCTTGGATGTTTCTGAGAAGAGTTTAAAAATGTTTCTCAGCTTCATGGCAAGTTGCAGATTGCATGAAAGCTCAGAAAATCTTCAGCTCTGAACATTGCAGAATGTGCCAGGTGCATGCCCTCAGCCCTAGTGCAGACCTCATGAGATCTCAGAGAACACAGCCCCTATTGCGTTGTTCGCCCTCCTCCAGTCTCGTCCTGCCCTCCTGGGAAAAGGCACAGTATCCCCAGATTGAGGTCCTTTTGCTTCTGTGTCCTTTTTCCTTTCACCAGAGTTATAATCATTCTATATTTTAATAAACATTACTGATCTCTTCTTTTGTGAACTAGTGACAATTTTCTTTTTCACCCACTGATTTTCAACCACTAGCATCTTTGCAAATTCAATTGATGATAGCACTATTGTTAAGATTTGCATCCTAACCATAGGACCATATAGTGTATCACCCAGGCAGGACATTTTTGAAAGTGAAATTAAATATGATGTAAGGATAACTGTCTAAACCAATTTTCCTGAGCAAACCAAAATTGACATAAACTGTTACCCACCAAATGATTCTCACCACGGAGCACAAAAATGACCACACATTTAGATGTTTATTTTTCATATTTTAATACAGGGTAAATTAATGATTTTGATAATTTCCTTCAATCTGATGTGAAATATAAGAAGAATGACTGCTTCCACTTCCAAATTTGTGAATTTCATGGATTGTTTTTCTTACATTTTGCAAAATAGATGAAACATCTCTTCTAAGTACTTATACAGCCATTCTCACTCTTCCTCTAATCCTCTGGACCCCTTAAAAAAACTGTGCTGTTCTCTGTTTGCCTTCAAGTTTTCTTTTATCCCCTCTTTGATTGGATCTTAGTTCATTGGTTTCAGTCTTTTAAATTTTGTTTTGTTTCTSTCATAGTCCCTCTTCAAAGCTCAGAAGCTTCACTTTCTTGTGACTGTCTTTCTATACTTCCCTAATATTTTGCTACACTGTTCTTCATCTCTGAGTTGATGGCTTTGTCCTCTTTTACCACATCCACCTCTTCCTTCTCATTTTAAATTTAATTGCTACGTCTCCACCTCCAATATCAGCTCCTAAAAATAGCGAGACCTGAGCATCCTCTATCAGGCTACATCTGATCCATGTGTTGTACACTTTCTCCCATAATTTTTGTCATCAGACCCAACAGTGACCTCCAGATCATCAGCCCAGACTCACGGTGTCAGCCCTTGCTGTCACTTCCAATCTTGAACAGTTATTCCTGTTAAGTCCACCATCATATCTCCCTACTTTCCTGCCAGCTTTTGTCAGTCTTTCATCAGGTTGAAAACCTCAGCCTGTTTTTCTCATGTCCTGCTTGTATGTCAGTGTTTGGGGAGAACAGCCAAGAGCTCAGTAAACTTCAGTCTGTCTCCCTAACCCTGACTATAGGGCAACTTCAGGCACAAAGTCTCCTCAGAAACCTCAAAACAAAGCCTTCACCTTTCCCAAAGGAATCCTCTTCCATTGTCTTCATCCCCTTTCACAGGTGCCTTCCAGTTGGAAGTGGCCAAATTAATGCTGTCCCTTGGTTCTTCATCCTCAACTGGTATAAAAAAGAAGAGATCATTTCCTTGGGCCAGAGATTAGTACTTTGTCCTAATTGTGCTTACTCTAGTCTTCCAGTAGGAATAAACCAGAGATTTAATAAAACCAGAGGCCCCATCACTAATCACATGAGACGAGAGTTTATACTGATAGCTTTCCATAATCAAGAATAGTCCTTAGAGAAAATGTCAACATTTTAAGAGCTATTGCAATTTCAGTCCAGGACAAGAACRCTTATTACAGGACCAGATATATCACTTTGAAGCTAATCTTTTTAGCTTCTTCTCCATATGGAAAGTTCTTGATGTTTTCTTGCAGCAATATGGTTCTCTTCAACCACTTACTTCCTTTGAGAGATTTTTCTTAAGTCTTTGGAACGATCAGATCCAAATCCCCTTCAGGAGAGCTCTGGCTTCCCTTATAAGATCAAGAGTTAAACTCTACTGTGAAATCGGCAAAAATGCATAATATTTGACATGACTAATWCTAGGAAATGTAATTATTGTTTTGTTCCTGTGTCACAAGTTTTGCCAGACATATGTGAAATATTCTCATCTGCTGACTGGAGAGATCTTTTTTTTTTTCTTCAGAACTATTCATTTATAGAGTTATCACTTATTTTTGTTCTCAAAGAAAACAGCTTCTTACCAGAAAGCTATTAGAGCAAATCAGCCTTTAATAATGTAGAAACCTGCTGTGGGGTTGTTAGGCTGTGTTTATGGTACAACAATTCTTGCTAATTAAAATGATTTTGGTTATAATGAGAGAGATTTGAATAGTATTATTTACTTAGCTTTTCAAAGAATGCCAGGAGTCTACAGGAAACAAAAGGAAAGAAGGAGGATAATGGTATGAATTGGAAAAAAGAAAACAATGCTTTTTGTTGAAGTCTTGAACTTAATGTCAGTGTCTCCAGTGAGAAGAGTCCTCATCTTGGAGAATGGACACCAGTAAGATAGTGGGCAGAAGGTATATCCGATAGAGGGCCATCAGATTTCAAGTCCAATTTAAGCAGTCACATTGGCTAGTTTAAAAGTCCATCAGCAAAGCCCTGTCTAGCTAATCGGCTTCAGAAATGGTCAGAATTCCTGGCCCTTTCCSCCCTGAAAAACTTGTTGCTACTCAGTGTCGACAGATTTCTCCTCCTGTCACTGCTTATTTTCCCTCAACTCTGTACCAAGTAGCATTAGTCAAAGCAGCAACAATAAGTAACACCAGCAGTTTTGAGCATCTTAAAAAGAAATTTCATGATATACACCGATCTACTCAAGGAAAGAACCTCATTTGGAGACTCAAATATAATGTGTTTCCTAGAATCCAAATTCGTATACATTCGTTCTTGTGATTACTAAGTTCATTGAGGACTAATGCATTTTCTAGTGTGGTAAGGAAGTAGATGTGGATGCTTATAAATATACCTTTAAAATACCAGCATATGTGTCTAGCTAAGTAAAAAAAAAAAAAAAAATGAGTTTTTGGTGGGCTGGGGCCGTAGCTCAGTGGTAGAGTGCTTGCCTAGCATGTGTGAGACACTGGGTTCAATCCATAGCACCACATAAAAAACAAATAAAGGCATGCTGTCCATCTATAACAGCAAAAAAAAAAATCTTTTAAAATGAGTTTTTGGTAACAATTGTTACAACATTTTAGAGCAGTTTAGTAACACCCAGATGTTTTAATATAAATGAATAGAATATTTTCAATAAGTATGCCCCATAATAGCATACTTATTGAAAATAAGTAAGAACACAGGTAAGAAATGCAGAATAATACCTTAACAACAAAKAACATTTTTATTTACCCTCTTTTTACATAATTCTTGGGGTAGGAGGATGCTTCTCCACGGTTTCTACTAATCCTTACCTATATGTCTCAGAGACTTTTAGAGAAAAATGTATTTTTAAAATTAAAGAACTGTCCTTTGAATATCAACCAGCGAAGTRAATAAGCATGTTAATCTATTTTATATTTTTAATATATTTAGATAAATAGATGATCGTCTAGATGACTGTTAAACTAACAAAAAAATAATAACAAGTAACAAAAGAAATGTGAATGAATGGTTATAACCTAAGAGTTACTGACAGCTTATCCAGCAATTGATAATGTTTAACATGGGTCATGTTTAATTAAAAATCTATCACTGAGCTCCTTATTTCATTTTTAAAAAGATATTTACCTGGAAAAATGCATCAGTTCTCTTCCACAAGACAAACTCTCTTGATTTCACAAAGAAAATGGAAAATAATTATAGGTATAACTGTTGAAGAACTATCTATGCCTGTACTCTCTTTTTTACAGAACAAAATGGAAAATAATTATAGGTATAACTGTTGAAGAACTATCTATGCCTGTACTCTCTTTTTTACAGAACTTCTATAAGACTGAACTGAACAAGGAAGAGATGTATATACGCTATATCCACAAACTTTATGATCTGCATCTCAAAGCACAGAACTTTACAGGTAATTCTGTCTTTGGCTCAGATTTGGGGAAGTGGGCTAGATACTAATGTATTAAACATGATAACTCCTCTGCTTTTTGTAATTAGAGCTGAGGACTCAGGTATTTCTACTTTAAATTTAAAATATATTTTAATTAGGTGTATGTTTCTAAGTACTCTATTTTTTGACTATTTCTCTCTGTATAACTTTTTAGAGGTTGATCTTAGGATTACAAAATACATACCTAACATTTTACAATCTACTAACAGTGTTTTGCCACTTCAAGCTAAATATGGGAACTTTATAACCATAGAGATCCCAATATTCTCCCCATTTGGTGTTATACTTGTCATATGTATTATATCTACCTTCATTCAAAACTGTAGCAAATAATGCATTGGTGTTGCCTTCAACATTCATACCTATCTCAAAAGAWTTTTAAAATGATGTTTTATATTTGCTCAGATATTGGCCTTTTCTGTAACTCTTTCCCCATTTATGAAGTTCTTGGTTTCCCTGTTATTATTTCCATTAAACCTGAATAGTTTGATTTTTCTTTTAAGGTTGATCTAATGATGAAGAATTCTCTTCATTTTCCTTCATTTGGGAATGTCTTCATTGTACCTTGTGTTAGTCAGCTTTCCCTTACTGTAACAACATACCTGCAGTAGTCATCTTATAAAGAGGAAAGGTTGGGGCTCACACTTAKGGAGGTTTCAAGCCGTGGTTGGTTGGCCCTATTGCTTTTAGACCTGTGGCAAGGCAGCACATGATGGTGGGAAGCATGTGACAAAACAAACCATGCATCTCATGGCCAGAATGTGAGAGAAGAAGGAAGTATTCCCACTATCCTTTTCAAGGACACACTCCCAATGACCTAAAACCTCCCAGTAGGCCTCACCTCTTAAAGTTTCCACCTCTTCCCAATGGCAGTAAGCTGGGGACCACGTCTTTAACACATAGACCTTTGGGGGACATTCCACATTCAAAGTATAGCACACCTTTTTCACTGAAATATATGTTCGCTAGTGTAAAATGCTAAGTGAATAATTCTTTTGTGCCAGTACTTTAAAAATACTGCTCCATTGTCTTCTGACTTCCATGGTTTCTGATGATAAATATGTAGTCATTCAAATGATTCACCTATTCTAATGCATACCTGTTTTGTGGTTGCTTCTAAACATTTCTCTGCAGTTTTCAGTGGCTTAATTATGTTATATATGAACTTATTTGAGTTTGCTGAGCTTTTTGGATCCATACCTTATTTCCATCACCAAATTTGGGAAATTTTCCGGCATTATTTTCCCAAATGCATTGCTACACCAATCCTTCATTTCTCTTTTGGGATTCCAATGGCATGAATATTAGGCCTTTTTTCTGATAAGTTCTTAGGTCTCTGTCCATTTCTTTCCCCAACTTTAGTTTCAGATTGGATGATTTCTGTTGATTCAGTTTCAAGTCCCCTGATTCTCTCCTGTCATCTCCATTCAATGGTTGAGCCTTTCCAGTGAACTTTTTGTTTGTGTTATTGTATTATTCCATTCTAAAATTTCCATTTGATTATTTGTGTTTCATAGCTTTCAATTTCCTTTCAGTTATTCAGAAGTGTTCCTATTTACTACATGGAGYGTGGTTATAATAGCTGCTTCATAGGCTTTGCCTATGGTTCCAATATGTGAGTCATCTTGGGGTTGGCATCTGTTAATTGCCTTTTCCCTTTGAGAGTTGTTTAGTTTCCTGGTTTTTTGAATGTCAAGTAATTTTGGATTATATCCTGGACCTTTTGAATATTATGTTTTGAAACTCTGGGTTCTCTTAAAATCTTCTGGAGAATTCTGACATTTTTTTTTTATTTTAACAATCAATCCAGTTAGGTTCAAACCTCAAGTACTGAACCCCCTTTTGAAACTTGTGATTCTAGTGTTAAGTTTTGTTTTCAAAATTCTTGCATTACCATTCTGGGTTTTCCTTCATGGGTACCTCCCAACAAGGAATTCTGGAACCTAAGCAATGATCCACACCATTGTTCATGTCTCAGAGTCTTAGTTATGTCTATCATGACCCATTCTACAAATGTGCACCTTGGACTTGAGCCCAAGACTTCCAACAGAAACTAGAATATCTCTTTCTCAAGTTCTCCATCTCTGTATCCTYCCCATTCTTCCCAACTCCCAGGAACTCCCTTTCCTAAGATTGTGATTATAAGAGCCAGGGTTAGATCCTCTTCATACTTTGATGTCCTCCCTACAGTTCATCTGCTGGGGCCCAAGCAGTGAGATTTAAAAAAAAAAAAAAAGCCATAATCTCACTTTCCTATGTACACATATGAATATACACCATGAATCTCATCATCATGTATATCCACAAGGAACTAATTAAAAACAAACAAAAAATTAAATAGCTGAAAGATCAATAAAGTACAGGGAAAACAAGAGGTTGGGAGGAAGGGAGGGAAAAGCTGGAAGTACTGGGGACTGAATCAGAACAAATAATATTCCACGCTTTTATCATTATGCCATATTACATTCTGTTGTGATGTATAACTAAAAAGAACCAGTAGAAAAACATTTAAAATTTTTAAAAAGCCTGTGGAAGATAATGCTGCCATTGCCATCGCTCCCACTGCTGCTGCTGCCACCACCACGGTTTGCAGCTTTGTTCCTAAGTCTTTCTTAGAGGGAGACCAGAAGAGTCTGCAGGCTCACAAGGTGTCCCCTTCCTAGTTCTCTGACTAGAAGGGAGCTCTCTCTTTCTTCCCATTTGCTGTGCCAGGAAAGAAGGAAATGTAAGTCAGACATGGGAGTCTAAAGATAAAAACTGAATTCAACTCATCGTGGTCATTCTTGGAGTTTTGGTTTTCCTCCTCAGTCTACCTGCTCTTAGTTTGGATTTCAGAATCCTCCAATGGTTGTATTATATATTCTGTCAGGAACATTTAATTGTAATCCCTGAAAAAGAGACAGTGGAATATGCTCACTGTGTCTTAACCAGACCTTTTTGTTGGAGTCAGGACTACGAATCTTGACTTTTTGCTGCACTTTTCTTCCAAAGGACTCTTGAATCATGCCCCCACCCAGCCTTAAATGAATAAAGGAATTTTTTTTCTGTAATGGTCCCCAGAATTTTAACCTGCCTCTAGCTGTGGTTCCCCTGCTTCAATTGATAGCATCACTCTTTACTCAATCTGTGAACCTTGATGTTATCCTTGACTCTGATTTTCTTAACCTCCCTCAAAGTAGTCTTTCATAAGATTCTATGGATTCTATTTCCTCAAAATTTCTCATTGCTCCCACTTTCTTCATTGTTTCCACTTTCACTGCCTCTATTAGACCTCATCGTTCTTGCCCCTACCCCCTCAACAGTTACCAATGTTATGCTTGAGAGCCAGGAACAGCACACTACAACTTGGAAACCAAACACCTGTTTCTTTAAAGAAAGTTTAATTAGAACTCAGCCATGCCCACTTATTGTTGTATTGTCTATGGCTGCTTTTGTGCTACAGTGGCAGACTCSAGTGGTTGAGTTGAAGACCTCCTGCCCCACAAGCCTAAGTATTTTCTGTCTGGCCTTTTAAGAAAAAAATTCCTAACCCCTTCTCTAGATGTGAGTCTGCTGTCAGTTTATTATTCTACAAAGTAAAGTTCAAGTCCTTCATTCAAGGTCTACCATAATGGAACTACCCTTTGTCTGTTCAGCCTCATCTTTCCCCTTGTACATACCTTCCTTTCATCCAATGGCCCCAGCTCCTGTATCCCCTCCTTGAAGTAACTCCATCCCCCCACACCCCTCCCATCCTCACTGGATTTCTCTTCTTTCTCTTTCKCTCAGTGAATCCAGTCCGCCAGCTTTCACCCATAGGACAAGCTGATGTTTCCATTTCTATTTTTTTTCCCCACATTGTATTTTTTTCAGATTTCCATGGGCACCCTTGTCACATTGTTTTTCTTATCAATTATATATTACATTTAAAATATATATGTATGTGTGTGGGTATACAGACAGGTAATACCCAGATAAGGGGTGAGTTCTCTGAGGACAGAGACGATGTGTTCTTCTCCTTAGTCTTCTAACTTTTTAAAATAGTAGCAATGTAAGATTTAAATAAGGGTATCACTAACGAACCATTAATTAAATTTTAACCCCTGGTAGGAAGATTTTCCTTCAGTATTGATAGGTCTTGAATCACTAAGGAAACAATATAGAAACCAATTTTATTTTCAAATCCATAAAATAAGAAATGAGAGAGGGAACTAAGGACAAGCTATTTTGATATGAAATGGATATATTTTGGTTCTCTGAAATAAAGTCCAAATTTATCGGATATTTCAGAATAGGTCTTTTTTCCTTATTTACTGAACTTGCAGTTGTATGTTCCCCAAAGTCATAAGTAATAAGTACTTTTCCTGTGTAACATTTTGTTCTTCTTTCTTATGTGCTCGTTTTTGTGTGTCCTTGGAAAAAGTGAAATTGATGGGAAAGCTTTTCTTTCTGTTTAAGTAAATCAAAGGCATTTCTGGTTTAGCCCTTTTCGAAACTTTCACGATGCTGCTTCCTGTTCGTTATGCATCTGTACTCTTCTGTGTTGCTTATTTTTGCATATTTGTGTCCTCACTGTACACTTCTCAGAATAATGGAATAACCCACATTTAATTGTGTAGTGATAGATTTTGTTTAAAATYGTGAACACTTTTTAAAAGATCATCTGCTGGAAATTCATTCCTCTTCAACACATGTCTAAAGATGCAGAATAGGGCTGGGGTTGTGGCTCAGCGGTAGAGTGTTTGCCTAGCATGTGTGAGGTCCTGGGTTCAATCCTCAGCACCACCTGTAAATAAATAAAATAAAGGCATTATGTCCACCCACAACTAAATAAATAAATAAGTATGCAGAATAAACATATAACAATGCATGAAAACATTCACAGTTTATCAGCTTCTTCAAAAACAGCTTCATGGTTTGATCATGTTGTTTGCACCTCAAAGTACATATGCTTCTGTTTAATAAGRAATTTTCTACAGCTTACTCTCCACACACCATTTCTCTTAGCTATGTATCATCATTTCCCCAAATCAGGTTCTGAAGGATTTGTCGTTTGTCTTCACACCTTTCTCATGCCCCTGTTCAGTCATATGTCAGCTTCTCCTGGCAACTTGCACATGCCTCCTTGTTTTTCCAGACTTTTCCAGGGGCAACTCACCCACACCTGACACTCCAAGTATTCCTGGACCTTCCAAAGACAAGCAATAGTGGGAAAGCAATTATAGGGGCTGAAGATATTTATTGCTCTTTCTTTGTTTTTTAATTGTGGTGAAACATGTACAACATAAAATATGCCATCTTAACCATTTTTAAATGTGTGGTTCAGCAGCAATGTCATGCAATCATCACCACCATCTCTCTCCAGAACTTTTTCATCTTCCTAAATGAAACTCTGTACCCATTAAACACTATTTCTCCACTCTTCCTGCCCTTGGCATCCAACAATCTATTTTGTCTTATGAATTCGACCTTCATGGTCCTTTAAGTCACTCTCTGTGAACAGCTGTGGGAAGGCTATTCTGAGTACTATGGTGCAGTGGGTGTCACCAAAGAAATTTGAAAGAAGCAAAAATAAGTCCTAAGGTCCAACGTTAAAATAAATTAGGAGTTGTTCTGCCAGCTAAGGGGGAGAGGCTTGAAGAAACTCTGGAGCAATGATGGAGCAGAGAGATTGGCTGCAGCCAGATCTTGAGCAGTCTTCTCCCTTAAGAAGCCTAAATTTATTTATTATTTTAGCTAGTGAGAGTCATGGACTGCTTTTAATCAGGGAAGCAACATGACTATTTGCAATGAAGGAAGATTGTATTGTTAAAAGTACACAAACTGAAGGGAAAAGATAGGAGACTGCTAAAGAGTTCTAAACATTGTTGCCAAAAAAAAWWAATAATAATAATAATAAAATGAAGCCAGGAGATTGTTTGAGCTCACCTAAGGGTAATTGAAGAGGGGAAAAAAAAAAAAGGCCAGAGCTTATATCTCCTGGGATTTCTGTACTGAAGAGACAAGAGTAAATGATAGGGCTGCAGGCCTTTCAAATTACACTGTTTTTTTGTTTTTTTTAACATGGAGATGGCCTCTTTAAAAATTTTTAAGGAGGACTCCAGAACTTAAAATGTTACTTCAGAACTTTATGTATAGTTGCCTTAAGATAAATAAATTAAGAAACAGTTTGTCATGTGTTGATATTGTGTTAGAAGCTAATATTAACACTTTTGAGAGACAGATGGAGTAGTGTTTAAATGTATTAGTAACATAGGGTTTGTCCATTTTATTCAATTTAAAAAATAAGTTGCCTATTATAATATTAAAGGAAAAACTATTATAATATTTCATTAATGACAGTGAATTCTGGTTCCTATTCTTGATCTTTTTGACCCTATTTGTGGTTCAGGAAAAGAAGAGATCTGCAATATGGCAAGTRTTCTATAAAACACATGACCTATCCATTAACCATGCTGAGAATCTGTTTATGTGTGTATAGAAAAAACACCCCTTTTGTTATTGTTGTTGTTATTGTTTTCCCTACTTGAAATTCAACCATACCAAGCATGTAATGATTTCAGTAGCCTTTTACTGAAATTTGTGGGGCCAACTATTGGGGTCTTATCACACAGACCAAGACATTATGCTTGCTCACGCACTCTCTCTTACACACACACACACAC